GAATTTTAAACGTTAGCGTTCGATAATTTATTTGTAAATATGTGTGTGAATTGTTGTTGAGGTTGTTGTGATTGTTATGATTATAGCATAAAGATTGTGATTATTGTTATTGTTATGATGGTGGCATATTTTTAAATGCTTGTTGAGTGTGATAAAATAAATGTTGCAGCAGCTTATTGCGATGCGATCGTTTTGAAATGAGTTTTTGTCTTTAATAGATCGTCATTTTGAAGACGTTTCTTTGAATTGTCTGAATTTTTGAATTGTTGTGTTGAGGAATGGAGTTTATTGGTTTATTATTTATTGTTATTATTATTGTCATCGTTGAAGTTATTTATCGTTTATTATTATTATTATTGTTATTATTATGATTGTTGAGGAGGATGGCGTTGAGTAGGGGATTTTTGTGTATCATTATTGTCATTATTATAGGGAAGATTTCGAGTCCCTTGAGCGTACCAGACATTCTTGAGTGGTTGTGCACACTAGACGACCCTCTCGTGTCCACAAATGTCCTTCGATGAATGCCCGACCTTCGGCTAAAATTTGAGTTTCAGAAATTTTCTCTCATCTCCGGGAAATCCAATTTCCCAGCCTCATTTTCGGACAGGTTCCTGATCGTTTCTGGAGAGCAGATTTTACGAAGTCAAGTCTGGTTTCTTCCCCCGGGCCCTGGGAACAGGAATTTGGAGGATTTACCATGGGTAGGACATGGCACTCAAGTACGTGAGATACCCAAGAAGTCGGGCAAACCTGCAATCGTTGTGAAGTTTTCGTATAACATCCACTCGTCGGCACGGAACTCGTGGTGATGCAGCCAGGCACAGTGATCCAACGAAAACACTTGTGAAGGTATGAAGCCTTGGCTGGAATTTATTTTTATTATTATTTATTATTGTATATCATTATTATATGTAAATTATTGTTATTACGTTAGGTGAGACTTCAGAGCCACTCTTGTCAGCGTTGAATCTGTATTGTATAGAGCCATCATACGATGAATACGGTCGTCTTCACGTAATTTTGGCACACTTTTGACCCAAACAAACGACTTATTTGGTTCTGGTGACATCTTTAACGCCAGAAATTCCTCCAAATCTGTTGGCCGCATCTGAAAATTCCAAAAATTTGATTGAAATTTTGGAAATTTTCACATTTTTCGGACTTTCCCCTTTCTTTGCCGCGCAAAACCCTTTTGCAAGTTAAAAAGTTGATATTTACCTCGAAAAGTGGTGCCCCAACTTTGAATTTATCTTTGATACGTTGTCGTAAACGCTCTTCTCGTACTGGGTTGATCTGATAGTGGCCCTGGGCGGCCTGTTCCAGGAGCTGTTCGGCTCCATCGTACAGCTCTGGGCAGTGCTCAGGCGGAGCCACTTCGGGCATTTTGGCTTGGTGCTTCATAGCTGCTTCTTCGGGCTGAATTTTCGGGTAGGTTTTTGGGTAAATGATGAGATTACTTAATTGGCTGGGTAATTTTCGTTGTGGAACCAACCGAATGGAAAGAGATTTGACACGTGAAAACAATATGACCGCGTTGTTTAGCCT